GGGCCAGCATGACTACGCCAAGAACTCATCTCTCTGACTCCAAAGCGATTTCCCCTAAAACATGAAGCACCAGGAAAAGACGGAGGCTGGGTGGTTTGAATATAACCGGAGGTAACGTTAAGTACTAATGCAGAGGCGTTTTTCCTGCCAGCCAAGTGGCGTGCGTTTCAGAGCACACCTGTCTGCTGCACTCTAATGCAAGAGTGGCCAGAGATCAGGCACAGACGCATGTTCTCTACCGTAAGTGGTAGCAAGTGTTAACCTCCATATGCATCTGCTGTCTTCCTTACAAGAGCACTGAGTTGGAGGGGTGGGGCATGGATGGAGAACGGTTGTATTTTAGACATGGGTTGGATCATTAGTACAAGGATTGCTGAATAGACCCAGAGCTGTGTGTCATACGCCCTATATTGCTGGCAGAAGGAGATTCCCCTCTTCCTCCTGCTCCAAAAGCACAGGACTCTCACTGGAGCATCTGCATTCTAGCTTCACAGCTGATTCGGGGTTCCCTGTGGCTGCGGTGTGCAACATATAGACAACTGTAAAGTCCCAGATAGCCATCAAAATGTTAGCAAAGCTAAGAGTTGATGACATGCTCCAGGCCCTTCAGCCAGTCACTGATCGAGGCAGGGTTAAAACAGGGCTTCCTGACTCCCCAGTGTCATGCTTATTCCTTTCGCTGGGGCCTGCTGCCTCCTCTGAATGGCTGAGAGCTGAACATGTAGCATGTGTTTGAACGTGGAGCATTATGGCCCTAAGTCTCTCCTTGTCTAGTTCCAGCCAAAATAGCCTGCTCCCCCCAGGTTGGGGAGAAGGGTGGAGCCATTCGGATAACCACTCTGAGTGCAGGAGAAATGAAAAGGCTGGTTGCAGCCCAAGCCAGGGGTACGCTTGGTGCCAGCCAGCCATGTCGTCTCTGCACAGCCAAAAAGTAAACCGCAAACGAGGCCAGCATGGAGCGTGAACGTGCCCAGCTGGGACTGCCACTCCATCTGCAGCACGCGCCACGTGCCCGGAGCTTTGCTGGGGCTTGGCAAGGAGGGGGATCCATTAGCGGGAGAGTCCACGCAGCCCAATTCACAATAGCGTGACTTGGCTCCCTGCTGCCTATGCAACTTAGCTGCGGCTTTGCTTTTCCTGCCGTAATTTTCCTCTGTTTAAACTACGAAACTGAGCATGATTAAGCTCAGCACAGATAAATCTTCCTGTCCTTCCTTCAGCCCTCACAGAATCACCTCTTTTCCCTTCTGTCTCCATCACCTTTGCATTTGGCCTGTGCTGTAGCTGTTTTTCCCCTTTCTTGCTCTTTATGCTTCTCTCCCCCATAGCAGTAAACTCTGGTAATGGTTGACTTTTTTTTTTTAAATATATACACATACACCAGACAGAAATTCTTCCTCCTCCCTTCAAATCACTGACCAGGGATGCTTATTCACAGGGGGCAAGGGACCCTATCTCGAGGGCCACTACTTCCTGCCCCCCCATTCCACACATAAGCCATTAATAAGGACAGCACTCCGCTCCAGCAGCATGACTCACTCACAGGTCACCTCTGCCCCAGAGCAGTGGGATAAGAATAGAACCTGGTCGTGTGATATGTGGGGTCCGGTTTCCCGGCAGGAGCAGCCTCTGGTGTGCCGAGAGCTAATTAGGAGACTTCTCTTGCTCTTGGGAGGTGTGGTGCCAAGGTAACCGAGGGGTGCACACCAGAGCCGATGATGGTGATGAAGCTGGGACCAGTAAAATGGGAGGACAGGAGGAGGTGTCAGCCAACCTCCTGCAGCTGGTATAAGGGCTTGCCGGCAGCATGCCACTAACCATAACCCAGCGATGCTGATGTGGGAATCCCAGGGCAGTTTGGACACTGGAGTAGGTGTCAAATGTTGGGCAGGGCCAGGAGAAGGGCCCCAGTCCCTACCCCAGAGTCTGAGCGGGGTAGGGGCTCACCATATGCTCTAGAATGTGTGATTTCCTGTGAGCACCTGCAGGGGAATGTTGTCATGCTTCCTGCACCCAAGGTCTCTGTGCTCTGTAATAGGCAGGTGGCTCTGGGCTGTCCCACACCGCCCAGAAGAATTGCTTGTCCCTCCTGGTGAAGGCAGTTCAGGTATGGCTGTCCAAGTGAAGCCTTCGGGGTGTGGGTATCTGGTTCAGGCAATGTACAAACCACAGCACCATCACCCAGCTCTGCTGGCGCACAACAGTGTGCCCCACTAGCAGAGCTGAAATACCTGGCCAAAGGAGAAGGTGTGGTGGAGTGAGCTGTTGGTCTCGATTTTGTTGAGTAGCTTCCACAGCCCACTTGCCATGGGGAGGGCTTTCTGAAAGCTCCGTGTACACAGCCTGGTGCCTCTCTAGTGAACATCATCCTCTTCAATTTTGCCTAAGAACCTGGTTCCACCTTGTTGGGAGTTTTTGTGCTTGTGAAACTACTCATCCTCGACTAGAGCCAGGCACAGTGCCAGCAACGCACAAGCTTCCACCCATATCCACAGCCGTGCCAGTGCACCCCAGCCCAGCTAGCTCAGTCCTCATCCCTCGATAGCTCTGCTGTTGTGCTCACTGTATCAAATAGCAGCTGGAGAATGGCAGAGAGAGAATAAGATGATGGGGGCGCTGTATATTTTTGTGAGATTGCAGAAAACTAGCTAGTCTTTCCTCAGACAATCAGTGCATAACATAAACCTGACGTGCGCCTCCTGCATTCCATTCCAGATCATTGTTTGTGCCAGATCATGTGGTGACTTTTTTGCCTATGAGAGACAAAGACCATCTTCCTTGTCCATACACTGTCATTGAATTTAGTGTTCTAAAATAGCTAGTGGACTAGCAGTGCTGTATGAAATGACACACTCCCTGTGAAAGGACTGTGTGAACATTGCATACCCTAGACCTGTCTGGCCCTGCTAGGTGCACAAAGTACAGCCAGTGTCACTTCATGTTAACTCCTTGTAAAGGCTGCGTTACTTCACTGGGACTGCCTGAGGAGTAGGCTAAAGCCGAAGTTGCTCTTTGGATGTGGAACATTAAGCCCTGCCAATGAGGACCTATCATGGAATCATAACAACTAGCGATGGAAAGATCACCAAACAGGTTAAGCTGAGTGTGAAATGTTTTTCCCGTCCCAGGAGAGTTTCTGAAACTTAAAGTCCTGTCCTAACCTTGGATGAAAAAATGTGGGATTGGGTCAATGGACATGTTTCATTTTGATTGTGACCTTTTGTAGGTATAAATTGACTAAAAATTTTTGAACCAAACAACAAAACTTTACATTTAGAGAAGTTTGAAACTTTATATGCACACGTGGACACACACACACACGTGTGTATGTCTGTATGTACGTAAATATAAAAATACTGGAGATTTGTTGAAACCAACACTTTCCTGCCAAAAGTTTCGGTTTAGACAAATCAACACTTTCTAATGGAAAAACAATTAGTGGGAGAATTCCATGCTGTGGCCAGGGCAGGACTGCTTCCTGCAGTATATTTGCCAATGCTTTGACCAGTCCACTTTTAAGTAACTGAACACTGGGGATTCTGCCAGTGCTCCTTGGAGACCATTCCACGGTCTACTATTTCTGCCTGTTAGAATATCTTCTTGAAGTTGAGCTCAGAGCTCTTTTTGTTTAACTTCATTCCATGTTCAGTTAATCCAAGGGGTTTCATTAACTATCTTCCTACCATTCTTGTTGTTTGTAGCCCTCGAATACTTTATAAGGGTTTGGGGTATCATACTGTAGGTTCCCCACCATCATTGTGAAGCCAGGCTATGTGCACTTGGTTCTTCAAATCAATTCCCCACACATCCTCCCAACCCTGCATTAATTTTTCATGTCCCAATGGGAAAGACGAAAGGCTCTTTAGAAGAGTCATCCCTGGCATAGATAATTTAGCAGTATCCAGAGTGGCACAGTACTTCTACACACACGCGCGCGCTCTGTGAAACATCTGCCTTATCCATGTGAACCCATCAGGCATGTGGCAGGCTAACAGGCACCTGCTTGGCACCATCATCCTACAGCCGTGCCCTGCAGTTCCACTGCCGAGATGCAGACTACATTGCCTGTGTGCATGTTACCCTGGGGTGGGACATGCAGAGACATGGTGAGTGAGGCGTTAAAAGGGAAAATAGGCCTTTGTTTTCCACTGCAACTCTCCTGGCACTGTGGAGAACCTGGAAGGGCCCAGTTGGTTCTGGTCCACATCCATGCACTGCTTAGCAGTGCATGAGTTAAGGAGCCAATTAGACACTTTTCTTATCCAGGCTGCCACCTCGCTTGATCAATTTCACGAGTTAATTAATATCTCTTGAGGGCTTAATTAGATTGGATTGGCTGGAAATGGACTGGGGCACAGGTCCCTCTCAATGAGCATGCTCCTGACGGGGCTGTGACTCAAAAGGAGATGGAGATTGTTAATTAAATGTGATCACGCCAGCTGCAGCCAGTGTTTTCCCCAGTTACAGAATCAGTGCTGCCCTGGGGAAAAGTGAAACTGACAGACACTGAGCGGGGATGTCTCAGGTGGACAGGCTGCCTGGAAACTGGGTCCATTGGCCTAGGGCCTTACGGTGGGTGGGCTTTCCATCTTCCTTTTGAAGCAGCAAGGACTGGGTCACTGTAGGAGGCAGGTAAGGCAAATCCTTTGTTCCAGCAGGGGCTGGGAACAGCATTATAGTGGGAACTAGTCAAAGTTCCTCAGAGAGATGGGATCTAGGGACTAGGACTCTGGGGGCCTGGGCTCTGTTCCTAGCTCTGACACATGACTGATGTGTGATCACTTCGTCTCTTTCTCTTCTCACACCCTGTGTCCGTCTTTAGTCAGATGGTGAGCTCTGCGGGACAGGCGCTATCTCTTTCTGTGTGTACTTACGTATGTACATACAGGGCCGAGCACAGTGGAGTCCTGATCTCATCTGTGGTTGACAAGTGCTGCTGTAATATAAGTAAATGATTGTACTGCTTCCGATGTTTTCCTCTCCGATTTCTCCCCCTCAAGGACAACCCACGTAATGCCGTGTGGAACTTCCTGCTCCAGTCGTCTCCTCTCAGGCCCATGTGACTGTGGCACCATTTCAGCCATTTTCATTGTAAGTGTCCAGCCAAGCTACCCATGACAACCCACTTGTTCAAGGTTAGACATCTGGGTAGGTGTTGAGAAAACCCCCATCTGAGCCCTGTGGGGAAGAGAAGACATGCTCCTCGTGCACTGATAGTCTGTTTGTTGTAGTGTGGTGACTGCGAATTTACACTACATGGGACAATATACCAAGTACACAGGAGGCTGATCTGGTGGCTAAGGCACTCGACTGGGATTCAGGAGAGCTGGGTTTGATTCCTGGCTCTGCTACAGACTGCCTGTGTGACCTTGGGCCAGTCACTTCGGACTCTTCTTCCCTGCAGAGTTAACTCAAGTTACAACTTCAGTGATGCCCCAAACTGCAGTCCTGCCCCCCTCCCCCCCCCAACCCTTCACTTGAGCGCAGTGGTGCTTTTAACTCCAGTTTGCCGGCCCACCAAGTGGGATAGGCTAGCTCAAGTCAGCCCAACTCATCAGCTGCTAACATGGCCGCTCTGTGTGCAGCTGGAATGTGTGACAGGCTGGCTGCTCGCACTCAAGCTCAGCTCACTTGAGTGTAGTTAACTTTGCAGTGAAGCCACAACCTTTGAGGTAGGAGCTGTCCCTATACGGCATCTAGCAAAGTGGGGCCCTGCCGCTGGTTGGAGCTTTTAGAGGGTGCATCTACTGGCTGTGGAAGCAAGCCTCCCAGCCAGGATCGAGAGAAACTTGGGCTAGTGGGCCTCGTGCCAGCGCTCTAAAAATAGCTGTGTAGACTGCGTGGAAGTTGTGGCTCAGACTCGAAAGCCCACCCCCATTCGTAGGCTCCAGAGCCCAAGTCACAATCTCTGCCCATCCTGTTGTGGAGCGGGAGTGTGAACCCCGCTAGCCTGAGTCTGTTGAGCCAGGCTAAGAGGCTCGCTGCCACGGGCAGAGTAGACATCCCCGAAGTGCTGCTGTAACAATAATACATAAACAGTTTGTGTGGGCCAGTTTTGAGGCTAGCCAATAGCATGCAGTGCAGTCAGTTGTAAAGATTGTAAGACTAAATAATACTTAACAAAGCTGTGCTTTTCCCCCAAGAAGCAACATTGAATTATTTGCAACCTCATGATAGCCACCGTGTCCTTAAAAGGTTGCCCTCTTGGGGGGCCGGGAGGGAAGAAGGTAATGTTTTTTGTAATCCTGGAGGCCAAATGCCTCTAACAACAATGCTAAAAGCCCCATTTTGTGCCCAGGGCTCCTGCTGACTTCAGTAGAGCCATTCACATGCAGTCTAGGGATGTGTTTGGCTCCAAGACTCCACTCGGCAAATCATGCCTTGCTTGCTGATTTCCTTGGAGTGGTTGGTCTTCTGCAAACATCCACTTCTCTGTGCTTCTAACTAAAAAATGACAAAAGTGGCAAAGCAGCTAGTGGGCAGGGCGGGGGAACTGGCTCTGCTGGTGACTCGCTATGTGTGACTCTGAGCCTGTCCCCCATCGGTACAATGGGGAGTCTTAATACCTGCGTCCTAGAGGTGCTGCTTGGCTGAATTAATCTGACCTGCTGAGGCACTTTGAGAGCCAGAGGCTGCAGCACTGTCAGTTGCACCATGGCAGCCATTGTGCGGGAGTGGCAGTGAGACCGACTGAGCAGCAAGGCTGTTCACTAGTGCCTTGGGAGCACTGTGCACCAGGTTGCGTGGCTGGGCTGAGGGAGGTGGGTGGGCACTGCCAGACCCACTGGGGCAGGGCTGCCTGCACTTGCATCATATGCCCAGCAATGTACTGAAATGTACACTGCTCACGTGTGCTGAGCCAGATCCTGGCCCTTGTGTGCAGCCCAGATAGGCCAAAGGAGAAGGAGGGGGAAGTTCCCATGGAGCGGAAGGAAGGGGAATTCTCTCCTCAAGGCATGGAGCAGCAACAGAGCCATCAGGCTTTCAGCAGCCCCTGCAGCTGCCCTCGCCCTCAGCCCCCTGTGGGGTTTGGTGAAGGATTGACCAGCCTTGCCCACACGGAGGTGAAGGGGGAGCCCATGTGGAGAACCAGAGCGCGTGTCTGTGTGGTGTGCTGCCGCCACGGCCATCGCAGAGTAATCTGATGGGCAACGGAGGTGCAGCAAACAGCCACGGGGGTTTTTTGCCCTTGTGAATTATTGCAGAGCAAACGTTACGCAATGCGCACAGCTCAGCTCGTGTAGATCCTGGCTCCTTGGACTCTGCAGCATAGCACCATCACTGACCATTCATTCTTAGACCCAGCAATAGGATTAAGTTAATGAGGGGGCCTGATTCTCAGAGGCGCTTAGCACCTCCAGTTACCACTGACTTCAACTGGAGTTGTTGGTGCTCCTCACCTCTAGAAATCAGACCCAAAACGCCCAACACTTGACTGTCCAGGTTTGAACCACTGCCCCCTAATGGCTATTCAGAAATATTGCATAATGAATGAACATGGTCTAATCTCTCTCTCTCTCTCCCCCCCCCCCCATCCCTTGCAGGTCCAGCGCACCCTTCAGTGAACGTAAGTACTCTCTGTTAACTCTTTCAACCCTGTCACCCACTTCATGCCCTCTTTGCACTGACTTCCCTTCTGTATGGCACTTTTAATGCTGGAAGGTGCTGGGCTATTGCAGTGAGGCTGAGGGCTTCCCCCAGGCCTGCTGATGCCTTGGAGCCTGCTGTGCTCTGGAGTTTGGGCTTGCAAAGGCTCCGTGACCAAGTCAGGCTGTACCTTTAGACGTTCCCTGCTGGAGCTCTGGGTTCGAATCTAGCATCATGCTCCTCAGATCACAAGTGAAGCTCAGTTTGGAGGGATCTTCGTCCTTAGTCCTTATCAGAAATTCTTCATGCAGCTGAGCTTCAGAAGTAGCCTTTGGTCAAGAGCCACCTGCAGTTGGACAAGACTGGTCACACTGCACGGGGACCTGCTTTCTGAGGGTCAGCCCTGTATTTTTCAGCTGGAAACTTTCTTACCAACGAGAGGCAGCAGGCAGTAGCTTGAGCCTGCCCTCCCCTGGGCATATGGAAGAGCTGCCCATGTAGTTGTAGGAGCACCAGCGAAAATCTACTCCCGTCCAAGCTTAACTATAGTCTCCTAGCTCGTGTGCTGTTGAATTCGTACCACCTGTGACTATGTTGGGAAGCATGGAGCCTTGACTTGCAGAGTGCCCTCGGGCAAATCCGCCCAGCTCAGTTCCACCAGTGGGCTGCAAGGGTTAATTAGTGTTCCTTAAGCACTTTGAGACACCTGTGTGAAAAGGGATATGTGTGCAAGGTACAAGAGAACGGACTTCTGCTACCCTCCTCGCTTAGTCCTGGAGAGTTGCATTTCATTGGTCACAGTGCTCTTCTCCACCCTTCTGTTTTTCAGGCATTTATTTGACTAACGCCATTCATTCTCCCACATGCACAGGGAACTCCCTGGGCTTGATTCTGCAGCCACTGAGCTACCCACATTTAAAGGCAGCGGTAGCTGTACGGATGCAGCAGTAGCAGAATCAGATCCCCTAACTCGAACCACAGTAACTGACCATTGCTCTTAGCTCCCTTGAGTTTAACCCGCTCCTTTCCTTGCGCTGCCTTTCAGAGTTTGATGGAGAATCGGTCGGATGACAGCGGGAACTGTTGTTATCACCGGTGGAATACTAGCGACCGTGATCCTACTGTGTATTATTGCGGTGCTCTGTTATTGTAGGCTACAGGTATGTAACTACACTTCTGGGGTACGGTACCTGTGCTTTGTACTCACCTGGACAATGCAGCTGAGTTTCAGGAATGCTGCTGTGCATTGCTTTATACCCCATTGCAGCAGGACACTGGGTGTTGTGATTGTTAGATCTTTGCTATGCTCCCCCTTTCCTAGGGAGCTCCATAGAGTGAGGGCTTATTTTTGTTTTACTTTTTCCTGGTGCTGGATGCAAATCCTGGGGGTTGAGGGTTTGTAGAACTCAAAATTAATTGGAGAGGTTGGCTGGTTTCGCAGTTCCCCCTGTAAAGTAAACCACTGGGTTTTTTTTTCCTAAGGAGATTAGCTAGAAAACCCTTTTTATACATTGAAGTGAAGTCGGTGCTAGGGGTAGAGGCAGAGTTCCCCACCATGCCCAAGCTAGGCTGCCTCAAATTTTCTGGACTAGATTTTCAGTTCCACCTGCGCTACTTTGCACCATGGCACATAGTGTCTGAATTCTCACTATAGTGGCCAGCAGAGACCACCTTTGGCAGAGGCGGTCTCCGTACTGCTGTAAAACCTTTGAAGCTGGCTCCTGTGCCAGCCACCTCTTCCCAAAGCAGAGGGTGTGCTGAGGAGAGAGGGGGATGTGTGTTGGGGCGAGGCGGAGCTCTGCTACGCTACTCTGATCACTGCTGACATAAGGTTCCTGTGACCGTGTACCAGACCCTTTGAGGCCCCCTGCTGGAGGCATCATGGTCCTACCACACCCCCGCCCCAGGGAAGGAGCAGAGAAGTTGGCTCCTCCAGGCCTGCCTAGAGAGGCTTTCATATGAGGCGAGATTAATAAGACTGGGACTTTTCTGCTTGCAAAAGAGATGACTAACGGGGATATGAAAGAGGTCTATAAAATCATGATTGGTGTGGAGAAAGTAAATAAGAAAGTGTTATTTACTCCTCCTCATAACACAAACACTAGGGGTCACCAAATCAAACTAATAGGCAGCAGGTTTAAAAACAAAAGGAAATATTTCTTCACACAGTGCACAGTCAACCTGTGGAACTCCTTGTCAGGGGATGTTGTGAAGGCCAAGACTATAACAGGGTTCAAAAAAGAACTAGGTAAATTCATGGAGGAAAGGTCCATCAGTGGCTATTAGCCAGGATGAGCAGGGATGATGTCCCGAGTCTCTGTTCGCCAAAAGCTGGGAATGAGCGACCGGGGATGGATCACTTGATGATTACCTGTTCTGTTCATTCCCTCTGGGGCACCTAGTATTGGTCACTGTCGGAAGACAGGATATTAGGCTAGATGGACCTTTGGTCTGACCCAGTATGGCCATTCTTATGTTCTTAAGCTCTTTGCATCTCCTCTCGAATGGTTCTATGTGCAATTCCCGGTAGTTGACCATTATCCTTCAGCCCCTGCTGAAGGACTTTCATGGATGAAGAAACATTGTGGGGAGGGGAGTGAGAATGACCGTGAATCCTAAAAATGTCTTCAAAAGTAGCCTGTGTCCAAGACCATGTGTATGACCCTCTACGGGCCTTTGTGCACAAGCATAGCTGCATGGTATGCTATCCTCTTACTAACCAAAGCCTTTTCCTTGTGCATAGTATTATTGCTGCAAGAAAGATGAATCTGCTGAGGAAGAAGAGGAGGAGGAGGAGGAGGAGGAGGAGGAGCCTGACCTTCCCACTCGCTCATACCTTACAACCTGCAATGCCTGCAACTCTCGCATCGTGGACGGGCAGGGCAGCCCAGCACCACCACCCCACGAATTTAACCAGCAGGGTGCTCGGAACTACTGCCCTACCTGTTCCCCCTACAGCTCGCCCTTTTACATACGGACCGGTGACATGGTGCGGAATGGTGGTGAGAGGATCACCTACATGCCTGCGTGCTACAAGGAAATGGGGCCACCCATCAGAATGGCAACCCTCCAGAGTTACCCGATGACCCGCCATGGCATCGTCCATGAGACCTTTCCAAACCCGAGGGCTATTAGTACAGATGTGTAATCAGCATTGTCACTATCTCACAGGGTGCGCCAATGAAATGGCCATTGCGGGGTGGAGGCTCCATTTATTTCAGTGGGGTTTCTTGCAAAGAAGAGGAACCCTTGAACGAACATGAACAGCTAAGTCAGAGACCCAGCGTGGTCCTGAAGTTGATCTGTCCAGATCATTGTAAGCTTTCGTGGGACATTTGAATGAAGAGCTTGAACGTGATTTCTGAACCTATCACAAGTGTAATTATTATTCCACTGTATCTACGGAAGGGACTTGTGTAACGAGGGCTATGTACAGTATGAACTAACTTAGTTATCAAGACCCTTGTGACTCTCCTTACTCCCTTGAGTCCTTAATGAGGTCTTTGGTGTCTACACTAAGCAAATCCTACTTGTCACTTTCCAAGGCAATACCACTGGCCTCCAGTATGGATGAACTGAGCGCATTCAGCAAGAGCAAGACATCATACGGGGAGCTGTCGGCTCCAGCAATGGCTGCGGCATTAGAAAGGAGGAAGAGACAGAGAGGGTGAAGATCCAGCCAGTGTGCCGGGAGTTCTAACACTCTTGCTTGATGAAAGCTAATGGAGAAGCAAATAAACAGTTTGATCATTTTGTTCCCTTCATATCACGTTAGTTGCAATTGAATGCTAGTGTCTGTGTTAGAATGCAAAATAGGCTAACCTCTCCCTGGCTACTTTAGATAATTATGAAGGGGAGAAAAGGGGACTAGTGAAATTACTGACATATGCTAACAATGGAGATGATCCTGCTGCTGCCAAAAAAAAAAAAAGCCCTTTAATCTTCACAGGCTTTTTTTAAGAGTGATTTAATTTAGAGGCATAAAAAGCGCAAGGTTTTATTGAAAGAAAAAATTGCACTATTAAAGAATGAAAGCTTTGATCTTCTGCAGTGTGCAAAGCCCTGAAAGGCCCACTGCCATCTTCTGGGAAACTGAGAAATAGTCTGTTTAGGACTAATTCTGCTTACAATAGCAATAGGAATGGAAAAGATCTACTAGATCATGACCACCAGTGGGAGGAATCACACAGACAGGTCTTTAGGGGGCTCATGATTGCCTTTCCTTTCTTTGGGGCTAGATTGGAGGCCCAAGCCTACTTTCTGGGGTAACATGGGGTCACTGCATGAAAAATGTTGACAACCACTGAGCTAGACCATCCAGTCCACCTCTCTGCAAAATGGACATGGAGATTATTTTTTACTCCAATACCAAACTCGGTAAAAATTACTAAAAAGGCGCATCTGTCATTCTGATCCATTTCCATAGCAGCCAGCTGCAGGGTCCCCAACACGTGGTCCCGTGTGTGCAGGTGGAGAATACAAATTGGTTGCAGGTGAACCTATAAAGCTAAGTTCCTGCTGCCACACAAACTTCCTTAGCGATGATCGCTAGAGTATGGTTTAACACACACCCATGCTATTTAGGCAGCATTATTTAGAACTATAAACTGTGATAGAAGAAATAGTCTAACTCCATGAAAGGCGTTGGACTGACAGCCTTTATATTCTCTGTTCATCCACAGTTGGGACATGACATGGTGCTGAGGCACAGCACTGCCCAGAGCTGCAGGCTCCACGTTAGTAGGGGAGACGAGGGTTCAGTCTTCAGGCCCATTTGCTCTTTGGTGTCCCTGCTGAGACTGCCAGTGAGGGAGCAGATTAGTGCCAAACGCGATGGTGGTGTGTATGACACAAGCGTCTCTCCATCAGGAACCAACCCGTTTGGTGTAGATGGTTTGAACGGCCATTGGTCGCCTGCTGGTCTGTATTTGAACCAAGGCCTTAAAACTGAAAGACTTCTCATCCTGATACTCCCTGGCTCCTAAGCCATCCCATCCTCACTGTGACCCCTAAATAGCATATTCTCCAGTTCTCCCTCAGATGGCAGTTGCCTCTTAAGTGTCCTCTTACGGACCCTGGGAGAAAAAGCCAGCTAATGTTGGGAGGGCGGTAGTAGCAACAAAGGCCTCTGACCCGAAGTGTTCAATAGCCCATTGCTCCTATTGGCTTCCTATCCCAACCAGCACACTCCCCTGGTGATACAGTGTCTGGCAGGGTTTTCCTTGGTCTAACTCAACAAGTCCTGTCCTTTCATATGCTAGTACCTGCTTTAGCTAGCCCTCCAGCCTGAACTTAACCCCACACGACCTGTGGTGGTCGAAGTGCAGCCCATGAGCTAAACAGAGCACAAAGCTCTGCCTCTTTAATATGAAGGGACAGCCCACGGAGACTAACGGTCCCGGCATGCAATGCTGTCTCTTCCCAGTGAAGGTTGCTGGGATCAAAGTTGTGCATTATATGACAGGCTGTAGGCTCTGTGGGTCACACCTCTGTTAAAAGGGAAGATAGCTGTAGTTTGCTCCATTGTACACACATTAAATGTGACCCTTAGGCTTCTAGCAGGCTGATGTGGCCCTGAGCTAAGCCAAGTGTACCCCAGTATGAGATTGGTAGTATACCCCAGCTGAAGACCCCCATCACTCATGAAATCCCAAATACATTTTGCATGTGTGCTGGAACATGTGAACAAGTACAAAAGTGAGAGCTACAGAACTCAAGTGGGAGCCCAAAATGTAGCTCCAGCCCTGCTAAGGGGTCAGGGAAGGAACAGGGAAGTCAGACTTTTCTACGTGGTGTTCTACATCGTTGTTGCTCAGCTGTGAATACAGAGTGAATGTCAGAAATAAATGAGGACTTTGAACTATAAAGCGGGCTGTCTCTCTTCTTTGATCGGGGCCGGGCAGGTTTTACATGGTGCTGCGCTGGAAGCGGTCTTGGGGCACATGCACCCTCCCATCCATTCCAGCCCTGCCCCCCGTCCAGGCCCGAACACACGTGCAGAAAATACAAATGGATGGGTTATTGCTTTACTGTCAAATGGACTTTTTTGTTTGAAAATTGACCTTCTGGCTGGAGGGTATAGCAGCTGGTCTAGCTGCTGCCGGCTGTGGTACACGCTTGGCCACCTCTTGATGGGACTCCTTGCTCACGTCCCTGAAGCTCTGGGTACACACCCAGCAGGAGTAGGGCCATGAATTAGCAGTGTGGTGGGGAAGAGGAGCAGCTCCTTGGTGATGGATGGCAGGGACCAACCTCCCACACTACCCAGGCTCTGGTTGCTTTGTAGGAATTGCTGGTCTCTCTATAAAATCCTATAGGTGAAGAGGGGACTGTTGTTGCTACGTGTGCCCAAGGAATCCTTCCTAGCTGAGCAGGATGTTCTACAGGGACTGGCTCCATGACAGAGCACTCCAGACGGAATGGCTTCCGTCATAGAAAAAGGGTTTATGGTGGAGTCTGTTTCTAAGGGGATCTTGCCCCTTGGTCTTGGAAGGGAAGCGTGGTGTGGCAGCCATCAGGGCGCCTTACTCCTACATGACCGGCAGCAGGCCTTCCTGTAGTACCAATGGGAGCACAGCTTCACCTTCAGCACCAGCACGCAGTTGGCTGTCGTTTTGTCTTCACAGTCTTCATCTGGGGAGCAAAAGCATCCACAGCAGCGGTTAAAGCAAGGGCTTGCCCCCAAGCCTGAACTGCCACCTCAAGAGCGCCCCCCTTTACCTGGTGCCTCCGTGGGGCACACCTGGAGCTGGCACGTCTGCTTGGCATCGGGTTTGGAAGCTGGGTCGCAGCCCTGTCCCAGGGCATCTCCCTGGTAGCACTTCACCTCTCGGAGCCGCAGGCCGGCACCACACGTCTTACTGCACTGTCGGAAGCAAGAGGGAGGAGAAGCGGGCTGTGAGCCTGGTGCCTATCACCCCCCCAGTCACTCCTCTTGGTCCCCCAAGATGGGATATTCACTGAGGGAGTTCCCACTTCACCCCACAGTGAGTCCCCAGCCAGCCTCTCACCTAATGGGCCTTGGGGGAAAACTACTGTTCTCTTTCTGTGCTTCCCTATGCCTATTACTGACTGGTCCCAAGATGCTTGCTCTTCTGCTTCTGGCTGGCTCTCTGCATAAGAGCTAGCAGCTCAGAAATGTCCCCCAGGCCATGCTGAGAGTTGTACAAGCTGAATAAAAAGGTTGGTCTCATTAACTAGCATATCCAGCATTCCCAGTGCTATGCATGTCTGCACAGCGCCTGGAGACCTGGCCCATGCTCGGGGGCAGAGAGTCTAAGACCTTCAGACCACCATCGCTCAAAGGGCTGCAGAGGAGGTTAGAATTTAGAGTTAGTAACAAATGAGGCTGCAGGGGGGACTGGTGATGGACCCTTTCCCTGCACCATATGCAACTTGTTCAAATCCACCAGAGCACATGGGGACTGAAACTGGCTACCAGCTAACAACCCTTTGGTGGCCTACGGGTAATAAGTGTGATGGCTTCCATCTACCACCCATTGCTTAGGTGCATGCATTGCAAAATACCTCCTGCCATACCGTGCTTGCTCATCAGCTCCCTGGTGGGAGGACTCAACAGAGATGCCAAGCACAGAACAGTTTCAGAAATTGAGCTCCCTTCTTATCCCTGCAAGGCAGGGCTGGGGCATATGCATGGGCTGTGGAGGAAGTCTGCTTTGTTGCAGCCCTTTGGGAATCCTGTTTGGCCGCATATCCCTGGGGCTGTCAGTCTGGCACTGTTCGCTAGCACTAAACACACCAATTAAATTCAATTGAAAGGTGTGAAGAAAGTTGGCTCCTGGAGGGTAGGGGTGTGCATTCTATTCTATGGGGCATGACGCCCAAGGGAGATGGGCACCAAGATAGTCACCATTACCCAGCACACAGGTAATTGGTGTCCCTACTCCTGCTAGGTCTGTACTCAGAGACTCGGGGATGTGAGCATGTCCAGCCCTCTCCTCTCCTGCTAGCCCCTGAAAGGAGCCGGTTTGGTGGTTCCATTCAGACTTAACTATGCCACAGGCACAACACGAAAGTAGCAATTCTCCTGGCTCCCTTGGCATCTGAGTCTTCCTTTGCAGCTCCCTGGAGTGTAGGCCCATCACCCCTTCCCCCTTGGTATTTGTCATTTCCATTTTCCTGCCAGCTCTTTCAATACCCACCCCTCCCTCTCGCTCCCTACCTGAGACCAGGAGGTCGTGAACCACGTAGAGCAAGGCCTCTTGAAACAGGCCGCCTGCACCTCCGGTTTCTGAGAGGCATTGCAGCGCTTTTCTGGATACTCCCTGTACACGCCGTTCTCCAGGCCGGCACACAGCACGCTCCTGGTCTTCACCCCCCGGCCGCAGCTGGCGTCACACTGGAAAAGCGAAAAGGAACCCAGCTCATTCACGGCTGCTACGGACTGCTACACCCTCGGCACAGGGCTCAGGCTGGCAGACGCGCCGGCCTTCCAGCAGGGGGGTTCTTGCTCAGAGCAGTTCACCGTGCCGTCTTGAACAAGTCACTTAACATTTGTGCTGATCCTGACGCAGCCGCTGATGCCAATGAAAGTTAGCAGCCGCGATACCTTTGAGACGTTGGATGTTAGTGTCTGTAACTGGCTTTGAGGTCCTTAGACACAGAAGAGCATCTGAGCTACCAGGCTAAAAGTAGCCGCAGTAGCACGGGCAGTGGTGGAGCAGGCAGGCTGCCCCAAGTGCGTCCCCCCAGCGTTCAGGCAGATCTGTGCTCGGGGCAGCAAGCCCATGCTACCACGGCAGCACTGCTGTCTGACGAGCACTACTGCGCGTCTGTGTACGTGCGCTGGGAGTCGCACCCCTAGGTCAGGGCGTAGACTTAGCCTTTAGGGAGGTCGTTGTACCCAGATGCCATGTAAGAGCTGGCTATTACAGCGCATTAATACATCAGTCTTGGTGAGAGACATATTGCACGCCCCTGGATGGGGACGGAAGGAGCACAAGGAGGCTTAGTTGTAACGGGCGCCAGGCCAGTGCAGTGTGACGCGGGGCTCTACTGACACGCTTTAGCTTGTAAGACAGTTCTTACATACTCAATCGTGCAGTAGCAAGAGCCCAGCTCTGTTCTGCGCCCTTTGCAGGTCCCCAGCTGCCTCTGCCAGCGTGACTGCCACCTCTGTGCTTGCCCCGTTTTTCACTCCCCCCGCCCTCGCCATGCAACGCACGCACAGCTAGAGGGCAGGGAGCTGGATTGTATTCCATCTTAATCGCCCTCCAGCTAGACTTGATCACCAAGGCCCGCTCAACCCCGGAAGGGGACATGAGAGAAGAAAAGCGCTCAGACTGAGTTCACGGGCGCTGGTACTTGGAGAAACAGAGCTTGTAAACCCAGCTGCACTGGGGTGTGCAAATTGCACAGCAGGCAAAGGGGGTAATGGACTGCCATGGCGTAGGGAAATAAAACAGCCTCAGTTTATTACACCCATCAAGCCTCAAGCCCTCAGCACTAACCAGGAGGTGGGTTTAAGCAGGCTGCTCAGACAAAGGGAGAACACTCTTTAGCCAGGGATGGTGGGACCCTAGGCACCTAGCACTTGAAATGTAGAATTACCAAGTGGTTTCCCTGCTTCATATCACCGCCCCAGCTTAAAAGTGCTTGGGGTCTGGCTGGTTCTGCTAGGCCCCAGGGCATCTCTGTGCTCCCTCCTGAGTTCACTGTAAAGCCATGTTAGCTCAGTGCTGTATGGGGAAACCAAATGCCAAAGTGTCCTGGTTTGCATTATCTGGGATGCCACCTAAAACAAGCTATTGCAAGGCTGAAGCTGGCAGGCAGCACAGAGCAGTGCCTGAGCTGAGGCTGGGTCTATGCTATCACTGGCCATTTGGAAAATCGGTGGCACAAAGCAATCGTATTCGCTGGAGCCTTTGTACTGCTCTGACACTGGCAGCAGCTGTGGTGTAGACAGGCCATGAAGGGGGCTGGCAGAGTGTGGCTGGCTGGGGAGGGTTGCTGGCAGCTAGGATGTGCTGGAAGGAATAGTGTGGCTGGAACCCAGCCCCTAGCAGTTACCCTCTCCCTAGGCCCAGACTACCCCCTTTCTCCCCCGCCCCCAATCCCCAGTTGTGCCCACACTCAACCCTGCTATGCAACCTGCCCCCCATGACCGATGGCTCGGGTTTCAATCTGACCACTCTAGACCTCAAGTCAAAGCGGAGGAGGCAGAGGTAGCTACGGCTCATCTGCTCCTGGTCCCGAGAGATTCTCACACTGCCGTGTGCTTTCACTGGCTCTCAGTGAATGCTTCAGGAGATGCCCGCTGCACAGTGATCTTGATGGCCCTGCTTTCAGACAGCCTATGGGTCCTGGGGTTTGGCTGGGGCCCCTCTCCAGTGCTCTCCACTCTTACTGCAGTGTGCATAACGGGACTGAACTTCAGGGCCTTGTTTAGATCTTGGATCTGCAAGAGCCAGCAGGCTAGAGCGGAGGAGCAGAGTCCCTGCCCTCCGATGGGAGCTCTGGGAAAGCCAGCATGTGTCAAGCCATTGCGGAGCGGCAGCTGTGGGGAGTGGCGCTTGTGACTCCCCTCCCTGCTTCGGGAACCTCCTGAGCCGCCTCGGGCGGGAAAGAGCCAGCTGGCAGGCGGTTCTGCTAACCCAGCCCGGGACGGCATAGCTCCAGCACCAGCGCAGGGGCTGTCGCTGCCCAACCCG